CAGCCCGCGCCGCCCCCGCCGCCCCCGCCGGCCAGTCCTGACAAAGGGGCCTGTCTGCGCTGAGCGATGGGCCCCAGTTAATTCCTTACCGATCCCGTCCCCTTCCGCTGCCGCCTTTGGACCCGAACAATTAGCTGCGGCCTGATTAATGGGGGGAAATTATCGGTCCCGGGAGACCCCCTCCCCCTGCAGAGGGAGCGGAGGGAGGCGGGACTCGAGGGAGGGGAGACTTGAGGGAGGCACAGCTCTGGGCCTGGTGGGGGCAGTGATAGGGTCTGCTCTGACCACCCTACCCCAGCCCCCCAGTGGAGGGGAGACCTCAAGGAAGGGGCTCGGGGGAGTGGGGTACACTGGGACCACAATGACTAGGTCTCCCTGGGGAGCAAAAGGATCTGGGCCCCAATGAGGGTCCCTCCTTAGGAATGAATCTGCCAGGGGTGCTGGGCCTGGGGTGGGGGCCTGAGGGACTTTGGCCAGCTTCTGCGCTGGGGAGGGGGGCTCAGTGCAGCCAGTTAATTAGCAGCTTATCAGGCCACGCTCGGAGTGAGTTAATTAGCTTTGTAGAGAGAGATAATGAGTCAGTCTTTGGACCCATGAATCTGGGGAGAAACCTCAGTGATGGACTGCCACCCACCCTGAGTCCTCCTCCTCCACAGCCCCAACTCACACGGTTCTCAGCCTACCCCTTGAGAAGTCCTTCCTTCAGTCTAATCCCAGTCCTTTCTGCTGCAGAGCACCCTGGGTGTCCCCTGCCCGAAGCAAGGGAAAACTGGGGAGAGACGAGGCTGGAAGAAGGGTCAGCAAAAGAGGACCAAGGCGTTCCCAGCCCCCTAGTCCTGGGAAGCCCCCCTCCAATCAGGCCAGCCCCCCACCAGTTCCCCTTCCCACCTTCCCAATTGATCCCACACTCATTAACCTGCCAGTGGGCTGGCCACTAATTAATTGCTGGGTGGAGGAGGAGGGCAGGGTCAGAGGTTAAAGACGCTATTGCGGGCCCAAAGGATAGGTGCTGCCCAGCTCAGGCCTCTGCAGAGAGGACCCAGACTGGGGACTAAACCCTGAGCTCTCCCATCCTCAAACCTGGCAAATGGAGGTCTTTCCCTTACGTCACCACACTCACCCCTCTTCTGCATGAAGCTAAACAGGTCATCCAGAAATTCCTTCCTCTTGGGGTCTGCATCGAGCTCGTACAGCTGGGGAAGGACTGAGGTCATTTTCCAGCTCCGCTAACCTCCCTCCCCCTGGGACCCCAACCCAGGTTGTACCCTGAATAAGGGTCCCCAGCTGAAGGGGTAAGTAGGATCTGAAATGTGAACTCCCAGACATTGGGCTCTCTCCCTGGAGGCAGAGGCCCTCTACAGTGAGTGCCCTGGGCAGGTCAAACACCCACCTGGGGAGTAGGGGAAGAGAGGAAGCTGTGGAGGCCCCGCTTCCTCTCGGGAGTGCAGAGTGCAGGGAGGGAGTCACACTGGAGCTGTGTTCCACACTGAGGAAACTGACAGATACATCTGAGGCCCTCATTCACTCTTGGTCATTCCTGCAAGGGCTTCTTGCCTTTCACATCTCTGCCAGGGTTGGGGATGATGACTATAACCCATCCCTCAGGCAGGATGGATGCTCAGAAGCTCCTGGATTGAAACCAGGGCCCCCACCATCTAGTCTGATCTCCTTCCAGGGACAGTGACCTTCCCACTGCAGAAGCTGCCACAGAGGCAATGGCCTTGCACCACCCAGGACCGGTGGAGTCAGGACTTGAAAGGCCCAGGGGGTCATCCCACACATTCCCAGTCACCTGGAGCCCCACCTCCAATATCACTTCCCAAATACCACCCAGGAGGAGCAATCCCTAGAGTAATAGTCATTTACCCAGCGTAAGGTCCCTGAGTAAGACCTATAGGTAACACTCCATCCCCCAATAAGAACTCAGTAAAAACCCCCCCTTAGTAACAAACCTCAGCGATTCACCTTTAGATCTATGCTCCCACAAGAACTGAGCCCTTAATGGATGCCCACAAATAATATACACACTCTCCAAGTAATAACCCCCGAATTTATACCCAGGAGAAGCAGTTGCTAGAGCCATATCTCCAGAGTAACATTCCTTTATACACTAATGCCACAGACTACTCACCACAGGTGAACATTTCTGGAAAATACTCAAGACTAACACCCTACACTGTTTAAATAAACGAGGTGTGCAGGCCGCGAGTTTGACGTGCTTGCCCTACAGGTAACACCACCAGAATAGCACACCTAGAGTCACAGCCCTGCCAAATACCGTCATAGTGACAGCCTGGAGTAGTGCCTTAGAATAACATCCAGATGGGCTCACTCAAATATGGCCCTGTGAGTAAGATCTTGTCCTTCCCAGCTGCACGGTGGCCCGTTGGCCACACTGCGCCTGTAGTGGCCATCACAGGCTGGAAACTGTCACCCATAGAACTCAGGCAGTGAGAGGATTTGGATGGGGGGAATGTGACAGGGAAGAGATGAGGGGGATAGCAAAAGAGTGGCAACCCCCATTCTACTTCCAAAGACAGAAGCAGGCAGCCCAATATGACCTTGTGACTTGGTGTGTGAGAAGTTAGGGTAGGATGCTGCTGACTTTAGAATGTCTAGTCCCCAGATTCCCCACCCTCAGAAGAATTCTTAAGGGCTCCTACATCCCTCCCACTTTCCCTTCTAACCTCACCAAAAGCCTCCAATCTGTCTGCCTCCATGTTTCTGGGTGTCTCCTGCACCTCTTAATATTTGCCTATGCACTTCTTTCCATGTGTCTGAGTCTCTGGGTGCCTATCTCTCTCCCTTTCTGTCCATGTCCTGTCTCCAGATCTCGGTCTCTGTCTTTCCATCCTGTAGAGGGCAGAGGGCAGCAGGGGTGGGTAGGCTACGAAGGACCAGGCTCTGCTTTGGCTCAGAAAGGAGGAAGAGAGGAGGGCCTGACAGTGAGGGGCTCCTACCTGCTTGAACTGTTCCTCGTAGGTCCACTCATGGGGATGAGGTCCAGGGGGCTGGCTGGAAGGTGAGCTGGGCCCCCGGGTTTCTGGACGACTCTCTTCAGCTGCCTCTTTCTCAGCTCCGGCTTCCTCCCCCTCCTCATCCTCTCCGGCATCCTCCTCTTTCTCAGCCCCAACCTTCCCCGAGGCCCTCTCAAGGGCCCGCAGAATCCCAGAGCCAGGCAAGGAAGGCTGTGGTGGCGGTGGGCGTGGAGGGGCCAATGGCCTCATCCCCTGGGCCAATCTGGCTGCCTGCTGCCTCTGCAGGGCTTCCATCACAGCTTCCAGGCGCAGTCCCCCCGCCGGTGGGGGAGCTGGCACCAGGCGGGGCCCAGAAGAAAGGGCCGCCTGTGGGAGAGGGCATTATGGTTGCTGGGCCCTGCTGCCCCTGCAACCTCCAACACAAGGGGAGATGGTCATGGATTCGGGGAAGTGCAGGGAGGCCATAAGGGAAAAGACAGAAAGATAGCTTTCTCAGAGATTGACGAGAGGTAGACAGAGCAAGAGAGACAAAGCCAAAGAGACAGGAATGGGCATTGATGGAGGACAGGCAGAGACTGAGCCAAAGAGGATGACAAGGACCAAGAAACCGAGAGAGATGGGGGACAGTGAGAGAGAGCCATCTGATGAGAGACAGAGAGACAGAGAGGGAGAGAGAAGAACGAATATGACAAGGTGATAGAAATCAAGATGAGACAGAGAGACAAAGGTGGGACGAGACAGAGAGAGACCAAGATGGAGAGAGACAGAGATATCAGGCAGATTCAAGAATGGAGAGACAGAGACGAGATTGACAGAGATACTAGGTAGAGAGACAGGGGAGGTAAGAGAAAGAGGGGAGCAAGAGATAAATATCAAAGATCTGAGTAACAGGCAGTCCAAAGAGAGACAGAGACAGAGAGACAATTAGGGAGACAGGGCTTGAGAGAGAACGGGGAAGACCGACGCTGCAGGAGACAGAGACGGAAGAGATTAAAAAGAGAGAGGGCGAGACAGTAAATAGAGGGGACGGACAGACAGACAGACACAGGGAAAACAGACAGACGCGGCAGAGGCACAGAGAACTAGAACCAAGGAGTCGAAGCGCAGGAATAGCGGGCGGCGGGCACAGAGCCCGGGCAGGGGACGGAGAGGTCTCTGACGCCTGCTCTCTGGCTCCTGGCACCCCGCGGCTGCACTCACCAGCTTGGCGCGGCCCGCTGCCCCCGGCGTCTCCACGGCCCCCCCTCTACGCCCGCCTCC